CCGATGTTGGGCCTGTAGGCGAACTGCAGCGGGTCCAGGGTGGGGCTGACCACAGAGCGGAGGTGGGTGAGGATGAGCCGCTCCATGGTCTTCATCAGGTGGGAGGTCAGTGGGAGGTGAGTGCGACTGGTCTGTAGTGAGCCGGTTCCTTGGCGTGCGCTGTTTTAGGAACCTGGATCACACAGGAGGTCTCCCACAGGACAGGGACCTTCTCCAGGCTGAGGCTCAGGTTGTACATGTAGTTGAGGACCTCAGAGAGGACCTCAGAGAGCTGGTCTGCACAGGTCCTCAGCAGCCTGGGACTGATCCCTTCCGGTCCTGTGGATTTCCTCTGCGTCAGTCTCTGGAGCTGACTCCTCACCTGGTCCGGTGCGATGGAGAGGGCGGGTGGGGGGTGTACTGTCAGAGGTGGGGGCTGGGGGTGTGGGGGCAGGACGGCCCGGGGCAGCCGAAGGCAGTGTTCACTGGGCTGGGCACGTGTGAAGAGGTGGGGGAGGGAGGGGGGGAGATGGGGAGGGGGGAAGAATCAAACTGGTTGAAATATTGGTTAAATTCATCCGCCCGGTGCTGGTCTCCATCCGCTGTCCCACTGGCACTCTGCCCAAAGCCGGAGATGTTCTTTAGTCCTCTCCACATGTCGCAGGCGTTTCCCTGAGCCAGCTTCTGCTCCAGCTTTTTCCCAAAGTCCTTCTTGGCCCTCCTGATACTCCACTGGACCTTGTGCTGGATCCTCTTCAGCTCCTCAATAAACAGGTAAATGTAGAATAATATATGTTTTTTTTAATAAAAACATACTGAAGCAATTGGCTAAAAACATTACGAGTACCAAGGTGCTCAGAGGCTGGACCTGCTCTGTCTGCAGTTCTCTCCTGCGCTCCGCAAGTCTCTCCCCAGGGTCGCAAGCAGGTCTCTTATGGGGCCCAGGCACTCATAATGTTTCGAAATGGATCTTATAATAATTTGACATTATCCATCCATCAATTTTCTTCCCCTTCATCAGTTGCCGAGTTGCGGGGGCATCTCGCTCTAAGCACACACACTGGGAGACATAGTCCCTCCTTGTCCTGGGTCTTCCCCGGGGTCTCCTCTCTGTGATGCACAAAGATAAAATCAACACATTTAGATATGTACCAAGTAAAAACAATACAAATGTAATAATACAATAAAATACCAGTTAACTATGAACATGTGATAAAAACAACAAAACACTAGTTATCAGATTTTTAAAAAAAAATAAACAATGAAACAAATAAAAAGAGGACCACACAACTCACGCGGTGTTAAAAGTCAGAGAGTAAAAATGCGTATTAAGACGAAATTTAAAACATTCCAACGAGGGAGCTGTTTTGACGTGGGGGGGCAGGGCGTTCCACAGCTTTGGTCCAGCCACAGAGAAGGCCCTGTCCCCCGGGGTTTTAAGTCTGGTCTTAGGTACCACGAGCTGGAGCCGGACCTCGGACCTCAGCGCGCGGGGCGGGTGGTGAATTTGGATGACGTCCGAGATGTAAGGAGGGGCAGGCCATTCAAAGCTTTAAAAACAAACAAAATGAAGGACCTCCCCACCCACCTGGAGAGGGCAATGCACCTTTTTCCGGTCGAGCACCATGGCCTCAGATTTCGAGGTGCTGATTCTCATCCCAGCCGCTTCACACTTGGTTGCAAACCGTCCCTGTGCATGTTGCACGTCCTGGTTTGTTGAAGCCAACAGGACAACATGTTTGTAAACCGCTTTTTGACTCTGGTCTGTGAAAGGCGGTATATAAATAAAGATTACTTACTTATTTTACTTACTTAACATTGTCCGCAAACAGCAGAGATGAAATCCTGTGGTCCCCGAACCAGACCCCTTCCGGTCCCTGGCTGTGGCCTCCTAACCAGAACCCATGGCTGTGGTCTCCGAACCGGACCACATAATATTTTGAGATTAATCTCATAATATTTCGATTTTGATTAATCTTGTAATATTGTAATATTCTGACTTTACTCTCATAGCCTCTGAAAATAAAAGAGAAAATTAGATGACCCTTCTGCTCCATTGTACAAATAAGATTTCTTTTATGACAACTGAAAAAAACTACTACTTATTTTTGTTTTCAATTGAACAGATACAGTGTGATGACTGTGACAGGTGGTTCCATGATTCTTGTGTATTGTTGGAAAGCAAGGACTTGGAGGATGCAATGGAAAAGAGCTGGGCATGTGTGTTATGCCAGTGAAGAAGAGAAACAAGGGACAGGGCTATGTTCAATATATTTTCATGATGAAAAAATAAAGTCATCTCATGGTAGCCCTACTAGTGTTGCATCATGTTCCTCCACTAGCTGCATAGTACAAGTACTTTTTTCATTTTCAATCTCTAAATATTTATTTAACATGTAAATATTTCCAAGTCAAGTGATCTATTGACTCCAAATCAGTTTAGGATCATAATCCTCCACTAGCTGCAGGGGGTACACCTCTTTTTTTGTCGTTTAAGTATTTTGAAGTATTTTTAATGAATTTTGAAAGGCTAATATTAGCATTTTAGCTCAATAGCTTCCAGGTCATGTGATCAATTGACTCCAAATCATGTCAGGATCATAGTCCTCCCCTAGCTGCAAAGGGTACACCTCTTTTTTGTCATTTAAGTTTTTTTTAAAGTATTTTTAATGATTTTTTTATATGTAATAAAATAGCATTTTAGCTCAATAGCTTCCAGGTCATGTGATCTATTGACTCCAAATCAGGTCAGGATCATAGTCCTCCCCTAGCTGTAGGAGGTACACCTCTTCTTTTATCATTAAAATGTTTTAAGTATTTTTAATGAATTTTTAAAGGCAAATATTAGCATTTTAGCTCAATAGCTTCCAGGTCATGTGACCTATTGACTCCAAATCAGGTCAGGATCATAGTCCTCCACTAGCTGCAGGGGGTACACCTCTTCTTTTATCATTAAAGTGTTTTAAGTATTTTTAATGATTTTTTATATGTAAATATTAGACCAGCGTACATGTCTCCGCGTGTTTACCGTACTGTGTGTAGTAGGGGTGCACTAAAATGTTGGAGCGGCTTTCGAGTCGCTCTGAACCCAGAGAGAAGGAGAGGTGTACCGAGAGGGAATGACCGTTGAATGTCTGTCGGATATCCAACTTCAAACTAACTTCACCGCGGTCAGTTACGATGGGTGTAGTAGCTCCATTTGAACAATAGCTAGCTACTACAGGCAAGAATTTGGGAAAAATATGGTTTTCCCCTTCACAGGAACGAAAATGAAATTGGAAAAATTTACTAAAAATCAACAAAGATATTTTTCCCAGTTTTGATGGATGTAGTAGCTCCATTTGAACAATAGCTAGCTACTACAGGCAAGAATTTGGGAAAAATATGGTTTTCCCCTTCACAGCAACAAAAAGGAAATTGGAAAAATTCACTAAAAATCAACAAAGACTTTTTTCCCAGATTTGATGGGTGTAGTAGCTCCCATTCAATGATAGCTAGCTACTACAGCCAAACTTTTGGGAAAAATATTGTTTTCCCCTTCACAGTGAATGAAATTGGAAAAATTCACTAAAAATCAACAAAGATATTTTCCCAGGTTTGATGGGTGTAGTAGCTCCATTTGAGCAATACCTAGCTACTACAGGCAAGAATTTGGGAAAAATAAAAATGTGTTTTCCCCTTCACAGTAGGAATAATGAAATTGGAAAAATTCACTAAAAATCAAATACTTTTTTCCCAGTTTTGATGGGTGTAGTAGCTCCCATTCAATGATAGCTAGCTACTACAGCCAAACTTTTGGGAAAAATATTGTTTTCCCCTTCACAGTAGGAATAATGAAATTGGAAAAATTCACTAAGATAATTTTCCCAGTTTTGATGGGTGTAGTAGCTCCCAATAAATGATAGCTAGCTACTACAGGCAAGAATTTGGGAAAAAAAAATATGTTTCCCCTTCACAGCAACAAAAATGAAATTGGAAAAATTCACTAAAAATCAACAAAGATATTTTTCACAGTTTTGATGGGTGTAGTAGCTCCATTTGAACAATAGCTAGCTACTACAGGCAAGAATTTGGAAATATATATATACAGTGGGGCAAAAAGTAGCCACCTATTGTGCAAGTTCTCCCACTTAAAATAATGAAAGAGGTCTGTCATTTTCATCATAGGTACATTTAAACTGTGAGAGACAGAATGTGAAAAAAAAAATCCAGGAATTGACTTTTTTAAAGAATTTATTTGTAAATTATGGTGGAAAGTAGGTATTTGGTCAATAACAAAAATTCAACTCAATACCTTGTAATATAACCTTGGTTGGCAATAACAGAGGTCAAACGATTACTATAGGTCTCTATCAGGTTTGCACACACAGTAGCTGGTATTTTGGTCCAACTCCCTACACAGATTTTCAATGGGGTTGAGGTCTGGAGACTGGTTAGGCCACTCCAGTACTTTCAAATGCTTCTCACGGAGCCACTACTTCGTTGCCCAGGCGGTGTGTTTAGGTTCTATTTCATATGTTGCTTCGCCCTTTAGGCTTTGCTAATGCATATCTCTTCGGAAGCATCGCTTCCCGCCCTGAGAAGATCAAACGATCCACCCTCCAATCACCTTCACGTCCTGGCGTAGGTCTGTCCCCTATAAATAGGGTCATGCACCACAGCTCCTCTCCTTTCTCTCTCAGCTTGCCTAAGAGAAGCTTCGATTCATTGGAACAAGGATGTCATCAAGCAAGTTCGCCGCGCCTGAAGATCTGTCACCCTCTGGTGTCAGGCTGCGGGTCTGCGACTCGTGCCCAGCGGCACTCTCCCAGGCTGACCGCCACGAGTCCTGCGTCTTCTGCCTGGGCTGGCGTCATGCCGCGGAGGAAAGCCCCAGCTGTGTGACTTTCCTCGCGCTCCCCAGGGAGGAGCGTGACAGGCGCAGCGGGCTACTCAACGCCGGCTGGAGTGATGCCCATGGTGGCCTCGCTCATGGTGTGCCACCCTCCGCCCACACTGCTGCTTCGCCTGGATCAGCGGAGATGTCAGGCTCTGGATCTGGACCAGGGTCCGACTACGATGAGGGGGAGTTGGTGGAGCCCAGTCCTCCTACTCCCAGGAGGTGGGGCAACGCGAGCGCTATCCCCTGGATCGTTTCTCGCATCTGACCGCATCGGCTGTGGTCAGGATGCGTATGGCGATGCCGGTCCAGCCCGCCTCGCCTCCGGTGGACTGTTTACAGTCCCTCGCTCCCTCCCCCGGCGACGCAGACGTGAGGTGGGCGCTCCCAGGATGGAACCGCTGCTGCATTATGCCAGCCGTGAGTGGAATAGGCCCATGGCAGCCAAATCCCCGGCCTTGGCGTACGGAGTGTATGCAGGAGTGGACGCATGGCCTAGGCCGTCAGGCGTTCCTCCCATAGAGGACGGAGTGCGCCTGTCTCTGCTTCCAGCTTCATCTCCTTGGTCTGGACTGGCAGCTCCCTCCGAGCGGGACAAGCTGACCATCTCCATGCTCGACAGATGTTATGCCAATGCAACACAGGTCGTTGCTTTGGCGAATAACATGACTCTCCTCGCTGCTTCCCTCGACACTCTCATCCGGGGTCGGGAGGACCTCTCCCGGACGGAGATCGAGGAGGCTGAGGATACTATGGCCACCTTCCTCCGCATGGCACAGGGCTTAGCGGTGGACGGTGGTAGGTCCATGTGTGCGGCCCAGGTCGCCTGCCGCCATCTCTGGTTGGGCCTGTCACCTCTCAGGGACGCTGATAAGCGGCGCCTTCTGGATCTGCCGCTCTCCTCCTCTTCCTTGTTTGGACCGGACATCCAGACCCTCGTGGAGCGGATGGAAACAGCGTCCAAGACCTCCGCTCAGTTGGCACAGCATCTCCGTCCTCCGCGGGCTCCTCGTCCCACGGCACGGCGTCCGGGTTATGCGGAGCGAAGAACCCGTGACCGCCCGGCCCCCCAGCATCGTTCAGAGCCTGGAGGCTCTCTGGGTCCTGTGCGCGGGAGACAGTGAGCTCGTAACCAACGGAGGAGCGGCAGCCACCCCGGCTCTCCAGCTACAGGGAGGGGAGGGAAATACTTTAATAAAGGCCGCAAGCAGGCCCGTTACTCCCATAAAGAGTCAACTTCTTTCTCTTTTCCCTCTCACTCAGCGTTTGGCCAACGCTACTCCTCTACAGGGCGTCTGGAGCCTCTCAACGCGCTGCGAGGTGGCACGTTGGAGGCAGGCTCCAGGTTCGCTGTGCACTCCCCGTGGTTTCGCCTCCCGTGGGCAGGGAGTGCGTGACCGTGCGCTCCCCTCCTACGCTCTTTGTGCGCCAGCAGCACCAGCTCACAGCGCTCCGTGTGAGAGGCACAGGGCCGCAGCTATCCAGAAGAATAAGGGGGAATGCTCGGCCCCCCCTCAGTCTCCAGTGTTGGGGGGCGGGGGCCCGGCTCTGCGGAAGCAAAGCACGCCTGCCCTCTTGCTGCCATCCGGCCCCCTCCTTTCTGCGGCATTCTCCAGACAAGGCTACGCAGCCCGGAGGACGCCGTGGCGCTTCACAGGGAGGTCGACGCGCTTCTGCAGCGCGGCGCGGTAGCGGAGGTAGACCCGCTCAAGGCAGGGACAGGGTTTTACTCTCCATATTTCATTGTCCCCAAAAAGAGCGGGGGGGTGCGGGCCATTCTGAACCTGCGTGTCCTCAACGGCTGCATAGCCAAGCGACCGTTTCGCATGCTCACAGTCAAACAGCGGAGGCGGCGCTAGAACCCCTTCGGCTCCAACCGCGGCAGATCCGGTCACTCTTGGGCATGATGGCAGCGGCCCATCCAGTGGTGAGACTGGGGTTGCTGCACATGCGATATCTCCAGAGGTGGTTCTCACACCTCAGGGGTTTATCACGGAGGGAGCGACTGTCGGAGAGGGCTCGGAACGACGTCGCCTTCTGGCTGTCCCCAGGTCAACTCCAGGAGGGAGTTCGAATGGGTCTGGTGGACCACCACATCAAGGTCTTCACGGACGCCTCACTGAGCGGATGGGGAGGCGTGCTTGGCCACCACTCGGCAGGAGGCGTTTGGTCCTCCCCCTTGGGGCACATCAACCTCCTGGAGTTGGAGGCGGTGCGGTTAGTGCTGGCCCATTTTGTGACCAGACTGGAGGGCCAACATGTGATTGTTCGGACGGACAACACCACTGTGGCAGCTTACCTGAACAGGCAGGGGGGGACCAGGTCCCCCGCCCTTCACAGGCTGGCAGTGGAGGTTCTTCTGTGGGCGGACGTTCACCTAGCCTCTCTGAGGGCCCGTCACATCCCAGGCGAGCGCAACGTGGCCGCCGACAGGATGTCCAGGGGCGGGGCCTTGCGGGACGAGTGGGATCTCGCCCCAGCGGTCGTGCCGCAGCTAGGGCTCAGCCCTTTTCCCAGGGGCCCCCCACTATCCGATGCCTCCCCAGGAGGGACGTCTGTGGGCGGGCCGGGCCTTACTCCCTCCTCCCATCCCGCCGTGCTTCCCTTGACTCATTTTGTCACCGTATGGGAACAGGCAGGGCTCCTGGGAACACCGTGGATACGCAGAGTGCTGCATCGGGGCTACGCTCTCCAGTTCTCCCGGCAGCCCCCTCCTTTCTGCGGCATTCTCCAGACAAGGCTACGCAGCCCGGAGGACGCCGTGGCGCTTCACAGGGAGGTCGACGCCCTTCTGCGGCGCGGTAGCGGAGGTAGACCCGCTCAAGGCAGGGACAGGGTTTTACTCTCCATATTTCATTGTCCCCAAAAAGAGCGGGGGGGTGCGGGCCATTCTGAACCTGCGTGTCCTCAACGGCTGCATAGCCAAGCGACCGTTTCGCATGCTCACAGTCAAACAGCGGAGGCGGCGCTAGAACCCCTTCGGCTCCAACCGCGGCAGATCCGGTCACTCTTGGGCATGATGGCAGCGGCCCAGCCAGTGGTGAGACTGGGGTTGCTGCACATGCGATATCTCCAGAGGTGGTTCTCACACCTCAGGGGTTTATCACGGAGGGAGCGACTGTCGGAGAGGGCTCGGAACGACGTCGCCTTCTGGCTGTCCCCAGGTCGACTCCAAGAGGGAGTTCGAATGGGTCTGGTGGACCACCACATCAAGGTCTTCACGGACGCCTCACTGAGCGGATGGGGAGGCGTGCTTGGCCACCACTCGGCAGGAGGCGTTTGGTCCTCCCACTTGGGGCACATCAACCTCCTGGAGTTGGAGGCGGTGCGGTTAGTGCTGGCCCATTTTGTGACCAGACTGGAGGGCCAACATGTGATTGTTCGGACGGACAACACCACTGTGGCAGCTTACCTGAACAGGCAGGGGGGGGCCAGGTCCCCCGCCCTTCACAGGCTGGCAGTGGAGGTTCTTCTGTGGGCGGACGTTCACCTAGCCTCTCTGAGGGCCCGTCACATCCCAGGCGAGCGCAACGTGGCCGCCGACAGGATGTCCAGGGGCGGGGCCTTGCGGGACGAGTAGGATCTCGCCCCAGCGGTCGTGGCGGAGGTCTGGCTCCGGTTCGGAACACCGGTGGCCGACCTTTTTCGCAAATGCAGAGAACGCACAGTGCCCACTCTGGTTCTCGCTCAGGTCCAGCGACGAGCCCCCTCTCGGGGTGGACGCCATGGCGCACAGGTCGTGGCCCAACGGTCTCCTCTACGCCTTCCCGGCTCTTGGCAGCCCTGCTTTACAGGGTGAAGAGGGAGGGGGTCTAACCCTAACCCTAACCCTAACCCTAACCCTAACTACCCAGGTAGTATCCGGACCTGGTGAGCATGGCGCTCGGTCCGCCTTGGCCCATTCCGGACCGTCCCGATGCTCTGAGACAGGCAGGGGGAGCCCTTTACTCACGCCCTGTCCTGGGACACAGGCTCATGGTTTGGAGGCTGAAAGGGGGAAACTGTTGAGCCTTGGTCTCCCTCCCTCAGTGGTCGCTACTATTCAGGGTGGGAGGGCTACATCCACCACCAAAGCGTATGAGGTTCGCTGGAAACTCTTCGCCTCTTGGTGCGTGGACAGAGGCCTGGACCCCACCTCGTGTTCCATCCAGGAGGTCTTGGCTTTTCTCCAGTTTTTGCTGGAGAAGTGAAGGGCGGCCGCCACTCTGGGTGTGTTCGCGGCGGCCATTACCACAGGGCACGTGGGGTTTGGTAGCCACTCTGCGCGTAGCCACACCTTGGTGAAGCGCATTCTCCGAGGGGCCCGCAGGATCAGGCCTCCCCTCCGGCGGTCGGCTCAGTCTTGGGACCTTCAGGTGGTCTTAGCTGGTCTGTCGGGGCCTCCATTTGAACCCCTGGACAATGCGACCATTGCCTGTTTGTCCTACAAAACGGCGTTGTTGTTGGCGTTGGCTTCGGCCAAGAGGTCTGGGGATCTGTGCGCCCTTTCCATGCAGCCGTCTTGTTTGTCCCTCCCCGATCGGGGAGGGACAAACAGCCCAAGGTCGTCACGTCATCTTTCAGATCTAGGGTGATCAGGGTGAGACCGTTTTTCCCTCCTCCGCATGCTTCGGAGGAGGAAGAGCGGCGTCATAGTCTCTGCCCGGTCAGGGCTGTGAGATCCTATTTGGACCGCACGTCTGACCTCAGACGGTCGAATCAGTTGTTTGTGGGGTTTGGCACCAGGAGTCAGGGTGCTGCTTTGTCTCCACAGCGCTTGGCCCACTGGCTTTGCCTTGCTATTCGTTAGGCGTATGAAGCTCAGGGCTTGCCGCCTCCGGCCCAGTTGAGGGCTCACTCCACTCGCGGGGTTGCCGCTTCGGTGGCTTTGTTCCGTAGCACTTCTGTGGAGGAGATCTGCAGAGCGGCGTCTTGGTCCTCCTCCTCGACCTTTGTGCAGTTTTACCTACTAGATGTGGCCTCTGACTCTGTGGCTCATTCGGTTTTGAGTGCAGGGCGGCCCTAGTTCCTCCTTCGACTAGGGTTGTGTGGAGAGGTGTTGGCGCTCTTGGGAGAGGCGGCCTGGACACCTCTGCAGTAGGGATAGGCGCTCTTGGGAGAGGCGGCTTAGACCCTTCTGCAGTCTGCTCTACATTCCTGGGGTTCAGGTGCTCTTGGGAGAGCCCAGGTTTGTTCTGAATTCTTTCCTGCTTTGCAGGTTGGGGAATGCGCGGGCACTCTTGGGAGAGGTAGCCCTGCATCCCTTTCTCTATGGCTCGTAGGACCTCCGTTTCTACCGCTTGGTTGCGGTATGAGCAGGAGGGTCACGAGTTTGCTCCAATCACCAGAGTTCATGCCTGCTGGGAGTACATTGGTCTGGGCTTCGCTATGTTATGCATTAGCGAAGCCTAAAGGGCGAAGCAACAAATAAAATAGAAACCCCAGTTACCTAATGTAACTAAGGTTCTATGAATATGTTGCGAAGCCCTTTAGCTTCGAGCCCAGCAGGCCTGCCCTCTCTTATTCGGCTGAGTTCGAAAGGAGAAGAGCTTTGGTGCATGACCCTATTTATAGGGGACAGACCTACGCCAGGACGTGAAGGTGATTGGAGGGTAGATCGTTTGATCTTCTCAGGGCGGGAAGCGATGCTTCCGAAGAGATATGCATTAGCGAAGCCTAAAGGGCTTCGCAACATATTCATAGAACCTTAGTTACATTAGGTAACTGGGGTATCATTGTCATGCTGGAAGACTCAGCCACGTTTCATCTTCAAAGCTCTCACTGATGGAAGGAGGTTTTGGCTCAAAATCTCACAATACATGGCCCCATTCATTCTTTCCTTAACACAGATCAGTCGTCGTGTCCCCTTAGCAGAAAAACAGCCCCAAAGCATGACGTTTCCACCCCCATGCTTCACAGTTGGTATGGTGTTCTTGGGATGCAACTCAGTATCCAAACACGTCGAGTTGAGTTTATACCAAACAGTTCTACTTTGGTTTCATCTGACCACATGACATTCTCCCAATCCTCTGCTGTATCATCCATGTGCTCTCTGGCAAACTTCAGACGGGCCTGAAAATTCACTGGCCTCAGCAGGGGGACACATCTGGCACTGCAGGATTTGATTCCCTGTCGGCGTAGTGTGTTACTGATGGTAGTAACCTTTGTTACTTCGGTCCCAGCTCTCTGCAGGTCATTCACCAGGTCCCCCGTGTGGTTCTGGGATTTTTGATCACCGCTCTCATGATCATTTTGACCCCACGGGATGAGATCTTGCGTGGAGCCCCAGATCGAGGGAGATTATCAGTGGTCTTGTATGTCTTCCATTTTCTGATAATTGCTTCCACAGTTGATTTTTTCACACCAAGCTGCTTGCCTATTGTAGATTCACTCTTCCCAGTTCGGTGCAGGTCTACAATTCTTTTCCTGGTGTCCTTCGACAGCTCTTTGGTCTTGGCCATAGTGGAGTTTGGAGTCTGACTGAGGCTGTGGACAGGTGTCTTTTATACAGATGAGTTCAAACAGGTGCCATTAATACAGGTAACAAGTGGAGGACAGAAGAGCTTCTTAAAGAAGAAGTTACAGGTCTGTGAGAGCCAGAGATCTTCCTTGTTTGAAGTGACCAAATACCTATGGGGTGCCGATTGTAAAAATTCTGTTAACATTTTTTAGCTGAACATTTTTCTACATTTAGCTCACTTTCCTCACATTTAGCACATTTTCCTCACATTTAAGACATATCTATATCTAAATATTATATCTATATCTAAATGTTAAATGTTATATCTATATCTAAATGTTAAATCTAAATGTTAAATCTAAATGTTAAATCTAAATGTTAAATCTAAATGTTAAATCTAAATGTTAAATCTAAATGTGTCGCCAAGTGTAAAGCTAAATATATAGAAACCACGCCCACTGCAGTGGCTTCAAATCCAGTGGGCCCGCCTTCCGTGCCGTGTGGTGAGTGGGGGCGGTGCCGCGTGTTTTGAACATAGGAATACACGTGGACCGACGTCACGGCTCAAGGCATGTTGGGTCTCCGGCGCCATCGTCCTTGGCCACGGCACAAAATTAGCATTTTTGTGAAGATTCTTGCTTATTTGCTGGAGCCAGAGTGTATTCACTGTAAACTAAGCCACGTGGAGTCCCGTGAGATTCTTGTGTAATCCTGTAGGGTTCTCACCAGGCACGGAAGGCGGGCCCACTGGATTTGAAGCCACTGCAGTGGGCGTGGTTTCTATATATTTAGCTTTACACTTGGCGACACATTTAGATTTAACATTTAGATTTAACATTTAGATTTAACATTTAGATTTAACATTTAGATTTAACATTTAGATATAGATATAACATTTAGATATAGATATAATATTTAGATATAACATTTAACATTTAGATATAGATATAATATTTAGATATAGATATAACATTTAGATATAGATATAACATTTAGATATAGATATAACATTTAGATTTAACATTTAGATTTAACATTTAGATTTAACATTTAGATTTAACATTTAGATATAGATATAACATTTAACATTTAGATATAGATATAACATTTAGATATAGATATAACATTTAGATATAGATATAACATTTAGATATAGATTTAACATTTAGA